TGTCGGCCTACTAAAAACAATATAAAAGTAATATATTTATAATATATTAAAAATAAAGCCAAAATTAGCCAACGAAGTCAAAACAAGAGTTGTAGAGCATATTCTCACCTACGCGTCAATATAAAAAATGTCGAAAACGGAGTTCGTATGTGAAAGTTATGAATTTATGAAGTTCGGGGTGCGAAACCCCAAAACTGTCAGCCACCACGATGTGGTAAAAGTGCCACGACGTGGCAGGAGCTCTGGAGTCTGTCAGACCAACTTGCAATGATGCATGCAGTGACGACCCAGCCACCACGACGTGGTAAACTGTACCACGACGTGGCAAAGGCAAATTTTACCCTATAAATAGATTTGAAGGGTCAACCGAGTTTGGTTGCTCAAATTCTCTCCTCTCACTCATATTACCTCGACTTACGTGTAAAGAAGCACCCCCCCCCCCGAAGCCCCGGTATCATCCCGAGACCCGAAGCAAGTCCCGAAGCTCGAAGATCCCGCAAAGAAAAGAGTTTCCGAGCAGAAGCTCTGCCCACAAGAAGCCCGGTGAGTGAAGTGAACCCAGTTTTACCGAAGAATACTACTTCTATAAGTCGTAGTGTTGTCCGATCATCTTCTGATCAAGTGAGTGTGTAGTCACTTTCTTTTACGCATAATTAAGAAGTATTTTTTACGAAATACATGTTATGTGTATATTTTGTTGTTATATGTGTGAATGTATATTCACTTTCTTTTATCTCATAGATATGATTTATTGTCTATGAAATACATGTTATGTGTATGTACCTCATCTGTTTTTTGGAATATGTATTGAATGAGAATGTTATACAGGTTTTAAACTATGCATAAAAAATATATATTTTTATCTACTAATATGTTGGGTAGAACATGGGTAGATAGTTGATGTTTGATAAACAGATAAGAGGCCTCAATGTTGTTTTTGATTCAGTCATCTAGCAAAGTTTAGATGATGACCACAGACTTTCTAGACAGTCCTGTGGAACGCTAGCAGACTCGCCACCTGTAGGTGTTAATGAACTTGGGTGTTCATTTGTTGTACTCCATCCCCCTCATGGTTGCCTTATTTGACATATATTGTTGGGAAACCCCCGAATACATGTGTTGTCACCCCGATGAAATATTCTAAGACTAGGTCCCTTGTGTTAGTTGTTTTAGGGACGTAAAGTGATAATAACGGGAATGGGTAATTGGGTTATTGTTGGTTGGTGGAATTAAATATAATTATTTATTATGGGTTGAAAACCCTATATTATCACCAAGCTCCCAAGCCCGACCCACTCAATTTTCTTTGTATTACAGGTAGTAGCGCCAGAGCATAAGTTGGATGACTTGTCAAGTTATTTTTGGATTATAGACTTGTCGTTATATTTAACTGTTGTAAGGTTTGTATTGAAATGTTTATGCTTTTGGTCTGTTTATCGGAACATGACATCCCGAGTATTGTAATATAATGAAAAATACATTTCTTTAAGAAATGCTTTTTTAAATCTTATTTTTACCATATTTTGTTTTGGGAACAAATTCCGCAACTCTTTTAATCAAAGGATTACTCTGAAATTATTTTAAAAGCATAAATTAAACCGGTCTTTTCTGGCCGTGATTTTGGGGATGTCACAGTTCTCACATCGTGAAAAATACTTCTCACCTCGTGAGAATAGGCTCCTCACGTCGTGAGAGTTACTTCCCACCTCATGAGAATGGGTTTTCACCAAATTTCACTCCAATTTCAAGCAGTCATAACTTCTTCATTTCAAATCCGTTTTCGGCGATATTTATATTCACAGAAAGGTATTGAGGATCCATAGAACTCTATCTAATTACATTTGACTTAAAACACACCGAACTGAAATCTTTAATTCCTGAAAGAAGTCTGAAACATCACTTTTTCTATTTACCATTTGACTCCAAGACACAAACCAAGAGCTTAGATCACATAACCAATATTATCAACATCCAATTGGATCTAAACCCTATTCTCTTGAAGCCCAAGACCTTTACTTGATGGGATAATGTCATAAAAAACCTTAAGTTTGGCAGAAAATGTCGGTTTTACCCTTCGACAGATTTTTGGTTCGTTTATACCGCAAACTTGTCATTTTTTTTATCAGTTTTGCCCTTGTTACCTGCAATAGCAGGTTTCCAGGTTACTATTAATTATTTTTTGCGAAAAAACCCTTAAGTTTACAAATATTTTGCAAAAAAAACCCTTAAGATTATAAACATATAAAATATAAATATATATTCAAAATTTTATAAAACTAAATAGTTTTCTACTGAAACATATTTTTATTTTTATGTATGGTAAATTATATATTTGTTCAATACAAAGTTTTGATATTTAAATTTTAAAAATACCTAGTTTTATCAAAATTTAAATATATTTATTAATTAATACATAAACTTTTCAAAGCAACATTAAAAAACGTCTGTTAGCTAATAATAATATGACATTAGTTACATTCAATTAATTTTTTTAAAAGAAAAATAAAATTATTTTATTTTTTTAAAAGGTTTGTATTTCAGAAATAATAAACTATCATACTTTTTATAAAAATAAATATATTTATATAATAAATTAGACAAATATATTTATATTTTATATGTTTAAAATGTTTATATTTATTTATGATGCTTAAAATGTTTGTTATATTTTTATAAAAAAAAATATGATAATATTATTATGTATTTAAACATAGAAAAATATAATACGTTAGTATTTCTGAAATACAAACTTTTTAAACATATAAAATATTTTTATTTACCTTTTAAAAAAATTAATTGAATGTATTTGATGTCATATTATTCATATTAACTATTTTAGCATAATTAATTATTAGCTAACAAATGTTTTTTAATTTTGTTTTGAAAAGTTGAAGTATTAATTAAGAAATATATTCAAATTTTGATAAAACTAGGTAGCTTTTTTAAATTTAAATATAAAAAGTTTATATCAAACCAATATAAAAGTTACCATATGTAAAACTAAAAATATGTTTCAGTAGAAAACTATTTAGTTTTATCAAATTTTGAATATATATTTATATTTTATGTTTATAATATTAAGGGTTTTTGTGCAAAATATTTGTAAACTTAAGGGTTTTTGAATATATATTATATTTCACGTATTTTTAAAAAAATAGAATTTTTTTTAATTTTTTTTAGTTAATTCAAGTTCCGAAAATAATATTTAAAAAAATAATTTTTAGATTCTTCCATTTATTTTGCATTTTAAAATTATTTTTTAGAATATGTTAGTGTAATATTCTATTTAGAATATTTCACGTATTTAAAAAAAAAAAAACAGAATTTTTTTATTTATTTTTATTTATTTTATATTTTTTTTATATATTTTTTTTAGTTAATTCAAGTTCCGAAAATAATATTTAAAAAAAGAATTTTTGGATTTTTCCATTTATTTTGCATTTAAAAATTATTTTTAGATTTGGTCTCACGGTCTCACAAAATTAGAATGGTCTCAAATGAACCTAAACATATATATATATATATATATATATATATATATATATATATATATATATATATATATATATATATATATATATATATATATATATATATATATGTCATAACTTAATTCAAATTTCAAATTTCAATTAAATACATATCTTGATTTATTTGAATTTAAATAACCGAATTAATTGAAAAAAAAAATTATGAAGCTGTCACGTATCAACATGAAAATAAAAGATAAATTTGTGAACTAATACTCTAGAAAAAGACATGTGGCATAAGTTATTTTTATTTATTAGTTTGTGTGTATATATATATATATATATATATATATATATATATATATATATATATATATATATATATATATATATATATATATATATATATATATATATATATATATATATATATATATATATATATATATATATATATAGAGAGAGAGAGAGAGAGAGAGAGAGTAGAAGATATATCGTGCAAAATGTATACATTCATCAACAACATTTTTTCATATGCCATTGCAATCGTTCCAAGTCACGCCATTAATCTCCTACATCCTATGGAAATTTTATATAGAACGTAGGATTAATGTTATGCTTTGAAAAGATTGCAGTAACGTAATAGAAAATGCAGTTGATGCATAAGTACATTTTGCACCATAAGGGGGGCTTAGACTATGCCCAACTAGGACGACAATGAATTATTTTTTGAAAAAACAATAAAGAAAAAGTTGTATAAATCAAAATTACATACTATATTTGTTTATTGAAACCATGTTGACTAATTAAAATAAAAGATATACTTACTATACCGGTTAATCGGTAGTAAAAGCAAAATTATCAAAATTGCGATCTTATCATATGATCCTACGATCCTATGTGTGAAAAACGAGTCGGATCGTATCTGGAGTAGGATCCGATCCGATACCGCATCCCTTGACTTTTTTTTGGGAAAAAAATTTATAAAAACCAAAAATAAATTATAAATAGTCGAATTTACCATTTTACGACTTTTACTATTTACCGTCTACCTTTTTTTTTTTGTTGTTGTGACTAATGTTTAAAAGTTTTTATAGGTTTTGAACAAAAAAACTCAATATTACAGATATTTTTATGTTTTGAACTTAAAGAAATTTCTAATAAAATCTCAATATTTGAGATCAGTTTACGATTTAATCCCAAATTAAATTTTGTTTACAAAAAAAAAAAAAAAAAAAAAAAAAAAAAAAAAAAACCAGATTACCAGTTAAAAACTTTGGAATAACCTTTCATGATCGACTTCATAGATTTAGCCAATAGTTCATCTTTTTTTATTAGAAGATTATATTATTTTTTTTTACCGTTGTTGAGTTTTTTTAAGAAAAATACCAAGTTGTCTTTTTCATTTCAATGGTTATGATTTTGTTTGAAGGATTTTCTATTTTTTGAATCAAGATTCACCAGAGATTTGGTGGAGATGTTTGGTTGTAGGCAGCTCTTAATTTTGATGTTGATTTAAAACCATAATTAGGGACCAGTGGAAAGAGAAATATGATAAACCAACTACAAACAAATAAAGTATATGATGGAAATATAAAACGAGATTGCATCCATCTCTCTTTATATCCGAAGGGGGGGCTCAAGGGGGAAATGTCTATAAAATTCCATACAACTCATAACAAAGAAAAAGAAAATCAACTAAAGTTATGAATTCTTTTGGCAGATATAAGAGTATTGGAGAGAAGCATAGCGATGGTCATTGGGCCCACTCCTCCAGGAACCGGAGTGATTGCTGAAGCAACCTTCCTTGCCTCCTCGTAACAGATGTCCCCCACCAACCGATATCCTCGCGCACATTCCGGATCCTGTTCATCATTTTTTTTTTTTTTTTTTTCAAAAAAAAACGCTTTTATTATATATATATACATATAATTTGAAGCACAAAGCTTTTAAATGGGTAGATTATTCAAAGTATGAAGATGTCTTGATAAGAAACAAAAAAAGTAAAAGAACTGAAAGTAGGATGCTATAAAACACAATATGATAATGTAACCCTTTATAGCAACACACTTACATTTCTTTATAAGCAATGCACTTACATTCTTCACCAATAGTAGCAATATGTAACAAATAGAGTACTGGAACTTGCCCTTTTCAGATCAGGGAATAGTTAGACAAAAAAAGCGATGAATAGAAACTAACCTCAACTGGATTGATTCCAACATCAATTATAACTGCACCAGGTTTGACCCAACTACCCCTCACCATATTTGGTTGGCCCACTGCTGATATGATGATGTCAGCTTCTCTAGTGATCTCTTCCGCATTTTCTGTTCTTGAGTGGACAACAGTCACCGTAGCATCTTCTCTCTAAACCAAAAACAACAATATTATACATATAATTAATACAAGAAATAGCAACATACTTTCGGCATTGTACTTTGGAAAATCTACCAATTATAGCAATGTAATTAATTCTCAATGCCATTATTTTAAAGTTGGGTGTATTAATAAGAAAAAAGATGAAAGTAGAATGGTATACTTGAAGTAAGAAAGCAGCAGGTGTTCCAACAATGTTGCTCCTACCAATCACCACTGCCCTTTTTCCTTTGATGGGAATGTCATATCTATGCAACAACTCTATGCATCCTTTAGGTGTGCAGGGAACAAATGACGGTTCTCTCCCTCGCATGGCTAAACGACCCATATTCTCAGGGTGGAATCCATCAACATCTTTCTCGATGCAAACAGCATCTAAGATTTTTTCCTCATCCATATGCTGATCCAAGAAATGAATTAGAATCTATACATGTAGATTATAATCACAAGAAATAACAATCTTACACGAGGCAAAGGTAGTTGAACAAGTATTCCATGTACAGAGGGATCATCATTAAACTTTGAGATGTGGTTGACAACTTCTTCTTCAGTAGAATCCTCAGCCAACCTGACTTCATAGGAATTAATTCCCACAGAGTCACAAGCTTTCTTTTTGTTGCGTACATAAGTTGCAGAATCTTTCCTATCTCCAACAAGAATAACTGCCAACCCAGGGACAATTCCAATCTTGTCCTTCATTCTCGATATTTCAACAGCAACTTCTTCCCTTATGTCTTTTGCAACACGCTTTCCATCAATAATCGTTGCAGATGCCTCCTCAGTTACCTGTACAGCTGCAAGATAACTAATTTGTGAGGTTTTTACTTCTTTATAACACAAATCAATCAAAGACTCAAGGGATTCGGTGTGATATCAATCAAATGGAAAGGAACTGATATCGGTTATGGAGGATAATAATGAGATCAAATGCATGCAAGTGAAAAAGAAACTTATTTTCAACCTCAAAATTGACAAGGGGATTAAATTATCAAAAAGAAACTTAAGAACTAAATCGAAGACTGAATTTATAGAACAAACCATTTCAAACAGAAAACGAAATGTCTCGGCTTTTATTTAAGGTGTGGAAAGTAATATCGACAATAATAAGAGGAAGTTACCACTGGGGGATGCAGATGAACAGTAAGTGATAATGGTTCTGGGAAATTTAGGGTTTGATATGCCAAACTTAAGGGTATTTGAGCGGTGAAAATGAGAAATCGTGGTGGGGAACTTCTGAACTACTCTGCTGCTAGTGAAGTGAAGAAGTCGAGCTGTTGAAGAAGAAGAAGATGAATAATCGGTGAAAATCATAGTCGCCGCCGTCTCCATTAAAGCCATTTTATGTAATTTACAGATTAATTGAACACTCAAACCTATAATTGCTCTGGAATTGGAGTTAGGGTTTAAGCTTTTTGGGTGGGGAATAAGGGTTTTATCATAGACGCGGTAGACTGTAGTCATAAAGACATTCTGTTCGCAAAAGTTAAAACGCATCAGATACTACGATAAATCACAATCAAAACTTTCCTATTTCATAATTTGACCGGTAAAAAAAATCCATTAAAAAAATAAAACTACAAAATGGGCATTTTTTTGAAAATTTAGTAATTTAACCCTAACAAACACGAACGATGACTTGTTCATGTTTATTCGTTTAAGTTAGCCAAACAAATAAACGAACTCGAACGGATAAATGAATAAGTGTTCTTGGTTATGTTCGTTCATTTAACAAGTTACATTGTTTATGTATGTTTGTTTTTATTCGTGAACATGCTAAACGAACATAAACAAATGAACATGAATAAACAAAGATAAACAAACATAATTGAACCTATATGAACATAAAAGAACATATAATATAGTAATGTGATCAAACACAATTAAGCATATATAAACATAAAAGAAACTTATATAAATGTACATAAACGAACGTTAACATATATAAACAAACGTTTACAAACATAATCGAACGAACGCAACCATTGTTCATTTTCGTTCGTTTAACTAAATGAACGAGAATTTGTGTTCATGTTCATTCATTTATTAAATAAACGAACATAACACACTTCCCGCCGAACGGTTCACGAACAATTCGCTGAACGTTTAGTTTGTTTACAGCCCTACTTATAAGGTTATAATGAAATAAGAACTTAAAAGTTAATGAATTGATTATCATATGATAATGGTTAGCTATACTTTAATTTGTATTATAAAATGGATTATCTTTATTGTTATATATAAATTCATTTTCTAAAATTTTAAATCTAGTAATTTTCATATGATAAATACTTTGATATATATATATATATATATATATATATATATATATATATATATATATATATATATTTGTTTCTTGAAAATTAAACGAATTGAACCTTCAAATGAACTATCGTTTAAAAAAAAAATTCTTTTGTGGGACTCGGTAGTTGGGGTTCTCTGACGACGGCAACTCTGTTGTTTGTTCGGAAATTAAAAAAAAAAATTGCTTAAGATTTGTTCGGATTTTATTTTTCTTATGGTATTATTTATAATTTTTTTTACAATCAATTATGTTAAGTTTATGGAATTGGAAAAAAAAATGTATTAAGTTTGCGGGTTTTACGACTAAAAACAAAGATAAAAAAATTTAATGAAATTTTATTTAGAATTTTATTTTTTATAATATTATTTATATTATTATATTATAATAACTATGTTAATGTTATAATTTAATGAAATCTTATTTAGAATTTTATTTTTTATAATATTATTTATATTATTATATTATAATAACTATGTTAATGTTATAATTTTTATCTTATTAAAGAATAATTTTAAAATTATTCATATTATTAAAGTTAGTAATAAAAATATAATTAGAAATAATAAACTCAATAATGATTAGGTTATAATGAACGAGTATAAATGTTAGTGAAATGTTTATCATATGATAATGATGAAATAAATAAAGCTAGAATGGTATATATATAAGATAGAATGATGTTTATATAATAAGAAATATGATATTACAACTTTTATTTTTACGTAAATAAAATAGCTTATCTTTTAAGTTAATTATAATTTAGTATTTGTTGAGATCATAAAAATAACTTGTAAACTAGTTTTTGATAATTTATTTGATATTATGTATTAATAGACAAACATATAAGCTAAAAAATAGTTTTTAAGCTAATGCATCAAACACAACACAAAGTTTTTAGTTTTTATTTAATTTTACATCAAAAAGATTTTGATTATTTTTATTGAACACTTCTATACAAATAAAATATACAACTATTAGCTTCTAGTTTTCAATTTCCAGTTACTAACCAGCTCCGTCAAACATACCCATTTAGTTTTGAACAATGGTTCTATTGATTCATTTTAATATTTTTTTTTAAATATCTTTACGATTAATTAAATTTGTTTAGTTTGATTTTCTATGAAGATTTTTGTTACGTAATTTTTCATATAAATCTGATTATATCATTGAAAAGGTGTCATTTTAATCTAAATAACAATATAAATTTGTCTGGTTGAATAGTAACATTGTTAATTTTTTTTAATATATTTTATATCTTTTATAATTAATTCAAGTTGCATCATTTAATTTTCCATGATAATTTTTTATTGCATTATGCTTTGTACAAATTCAAATATATGGTTTAGATCATTTTATATTTAAATCCCAAATATAATTTAGTAAATTTTTTTAATGTTTGAATTAGCTTATAGTTATTTTAGGTGAATAAGTTATAAACACTTTTGGAAAGCTAGGGGCGTAATATTTTTAATTTTTTTTATTTTTATGATTTTTAAAAATTATTTCTAAAACCATTTATCCATTTATGAAATATTCTTTAGACTTATTGATTTTTTTTAAAGTTAATAAAACAAATAAGTCATTTCATAAGCAACTCTAAACACCCATAAGACTAAAAATAAAAATCAGATAAAATATGACATGATAACTGGCTAAAATGATAAAAATATGATAATTATGTCAGTTAAAAAATAAAAACTTGATATAGAAAATAATAAAAAAACTTCCCCAAGATTTAGGCTTCACGGTTTTTGTGGCATTTTTCAAATTAAGAGGATCATAGATAAATAAATTTCACATGAAAGCTTTATATTTGAATAAAAAAATTAATTACATAAAATTTCCATATATTGTGTCGAAGTAAACTTAATTTTTATTTTATTTTTCGAAAGTTTTTTTTTTTTTTTTTTTTTTTTTTTTTTTTTTTTTGTGTGTAAAATAGAAAGATTAACAATAAAATTGTCAAATATATATATATATATATATATATATATATATATATATATATATATATATATATATATATATATTAAAGTATTTTTTCCAAAAATAAAATAAAATTATGAATTAATATCAAAAATATCAAATATATATATATATATATATATATATATATATATATATATATATATATATATATATATATATATATATATATATATATATATATATATATATATATATATATAAGGCTTTAATGTAGTTATCTATCTTATTGAATTTTGTCTTCTTTGGTCCGATGAAATTTGACATTGTTAACTGAGTTTTCAAACATTGTAGTCCTAATAAAGCTGTAATGGAGAAGGCACCCGTTGTTCATCATCCCCAAATCGACATCAATTTGGCAACCAATCCACTGTTCTCTTACCTTCATGAAAAATTCTTCAAATCCATTCATTAGAAACCCAATTCTTCAAATCTTGCAAAGTAAATGCAAAACCCTAGACACATATCAACAAGCTCATGCCCAAATCATCACAACTGGTCTTATCCTTCACACTTACCCCCCTTACCCAACTCCTCTCAGCGATCTTATCCTCCACCCTACCCACCTCCTTATCCTACGCACTAACCATCTTCGATCGAGTGCCTAACCCCACCACTTACATTTTCAACACCCTCATCTCGTCAATCCTCACCCATCATAACCACCATGGCCAACGTACCCACTTGGCTTTCTCGCTTTACAATCAAATTTTATGTATACGAACAATCAAACCTAATTCTTACTCATACCCATCTCTTTTCAAGGCATTTGGGGTCTAACCCCATTTGGGTCAAACATGGTCGAGCCCTACACACACATGTCTTGAAGTTTCTTGACCCCACCGAGTATGATCAGTTTGTTCAAGCTTCATTGGTCAGTTTTTATTCAAAATGTGGGAAATTTGGTGTTTGTAGGTATCTTTTTGATCAAATTAGTGAACCTGATTTGGGTTTATGGAATTCTATATTATCCGCTTATAATTCCAGTGCTGATGATACTGGTTTGTCAATGGAGGTTCTATGTTTGTTTAGTGATATGCAGAGAGGTTCAAAAATCAAGCCTAATGAAATCAGTTTTGTAGCACTGATCAATGCCTGCGCTGATTTGGGTGCTTTTAGTGAAGGAATTTGGGCACATTTATATTTGGTGAAGAATAATCTTAAGCTTAATCGGTTTGTTGTGACATCTTTGATTGATCTTTATGTGAATTGTGGGTTCTTGGAGTTTGCACGCCACGTGTTCGATGAATTGCCTAAGAAAGACATATTTTGTTACAACGCAATGATTAGAGGATTCGCTACTCATGGGTATGGCCATGAAGCGATTGATCTCTTTAATAAATTGTTGTTGGAAGGGTTAGCTCCTGACGATGTTACAATGGTGTTGATAATCTCTGCTTGTTCACATGTAGGGTGGGTTGATGAAGGTTGTGAGCTTTTTTATTCGATGAGGGAGAGATATGGGGTTGAGCCAAAGCTTGAGCATTATGGGTGCTTGGTTGACCTTTTGGGTCGAGCCGGGCGGGTCAATGAGGCCTTGGAAAAGATCCGGGCTATGCCCATGGAGCCTAATGCGGTTCTATGGAGATCTTTACTAAGTGCAACGAGAAACCATGGGAATTTAGAGATTGGTGAGGTGGCACTTGAGCAGTTGATTAAATTAGAACCTGAAACAAGTGGGAATTATGTCCTTTTATCGAATGTTTATGCGGATATAAACAAATGGGAAGGTGTCAAACGTGTTAGGAGACTAATGAAAGATAATGGCATTGCGAAAGTACAAGGAATGAGCGTTGTTGATGTATAAAAGAGAGAGATCATCGTTAGAGATGGAAACATATTTGATTGTTTTTTAGATGAGAGTTGTTGCTTTTTAGATTATGGATAGAGCATTAAAAGGAACATTCACAAAAATGACAACATGAAGTTTCGGAATATGGGGTGATGACCTAATTTTTTCAAGTTTTACCAAAATAACTATCATGTCGGAAACATGGACATTTTGGACTTATTTCGGAGTATCTTATTGTCACATTAGAAGTACATTTTCTGAGCAAAACAAATACATTTTAGACAATTTTTTTTTTTTTTTTTGAAATTTCAAGAAAATGTTTAAAATCCAATGAACAAATCCAAAATTCTGAGAAAATATATCGTTTTTTTACTGAAAAATAACAAAAAGATAAGGAAACATAGCAAATGAGAAGTGGATTAGGTACAAGGGCCTTAAATGTGAATTTCGGATGAAAAATCTGTGATATTAGATATTTCAAAGACGGGTAGAAAAAGTTTTTGAAAAGTATTTGGTGGAAATGAGAAAAAATATATATAACATATCAATGAAATCCAAAATGGTCATTTCGGAAATTATGGTTATTTTCGCAAATGCTAAAAACAAAACCTATATCTACCAAAATCACCTGGTTCATTTTATTGTGATACATAAAATGAAAATTGAAGTTCTGAAAATTTAGTTGTCTTATATTAAACCTAGTTCATCTTGTTTGATTCTAAAATTTCTCTTTGTGATATTATAGCGCTGTGACAAAACAAGTGAGTTAAACGAGTTGAGTTGGGTAATGAGTCAAAATGTATTTGAGTTAGAACCGATAACTTTTTAGTGTGAGTCAAAGGTGGTTGTGAATTGTGATGACCCACCAGCATATTTATGTTCATTTGTAATACAAACAATTAATATATCATAAAAAAATTTATTTAAATAAAAATCTAGTAATTGTTATAATGATTAAGATGTTGAAAACGTCTTGATGCATTTATTAATTTTGAGCCACTTGAGTGTTCATGTGAGATAAAACAAGAATCAGTCCAATATGTCAAGTAAATGGACTGAATTTCGAGCTATGTACAGAATATCTTCCAACCCATGATACACAAGTTAGTATAGCAGGAATTTGTGATGAATATTTGCTTTTGTACATAGATGTAGAGAGTTGTTTAGAATGCATGAGCACTTGATAAAAGTAGAAAAACTGACATTGGCTTTTTATGGTTACAAGTTGCATTTCTATATGGATAAGTGTTGGAGTAGTTTTTCTCACCGATGGAGTATTTTCCATTCAATCTACTCTCACATCAACTTTTTTATTTTCTCTGTATTTCATCTTTTACAACTTACAACGTATGAAAAATCTATATTTCCCAACCTACTCAACCCATTTTATATATCATTCTTTTTTATTTAATTAAATCAGAAAATATATTTTTTCATTTTTTTGCTAATTAAAAAAATATTAAATAATATTAAAAATAACATTTAATATTCTTTTTTATTTAATTAATTTAGAAAATATAAATTAAAATAAAACATAAAAAAAATTTGATTTTTTTTTGCTAATTTAAAACAAAAAAAATCTAAAATGATATTAAAAATAATATTTAATTAAAACACCACAGTACAAATAAAAAATACATGATAATTATAAAACACGATAATTAAAAAAATACTCTTAAAAAAAGACAACATAATTTAAATCCTAAAACAACAATTGAAATTAACCGGTTATCATCTAAAGTTGGAATGTAGACATGTTCAATGTAATCAGTAAGATCGGATCAAAGTTAGTGGTGGGTTTCAACATTACGCAATTCATGTATTATTTCTTGGTGGGTTTCAACATTACGCAATTCATGCATTACGCAATTCACGTATTATTTCTTGTTTAGGTTGCAATCTTGATGCCGACAATTTATTTGACGAGATCAAACATTTCATTTTATGTTGATGATGTCAATGCCGCTTTCTTCCCTTTTCTTTTACTCTGAGTCTTCAACACTAAACAATTGTTGTTATTAGGGGGAGAAATCAGGAGGATATTGTGGATCAGATAATGATGTGTAGGCGTTGGATGAAGATGTTTTGGTTCGTTTTGAAGAAGGAGGTGGGGAGTCTTCACCCGCTTTTGTAACAAATGCCCATTTCACGTTGCCTTTCAACCACTCCCAAGCTTGTTGATGAGGAAAACTTTTCTGGTTAATAGTCCTCCGATACTTGCTTAGTGATTGTAAAACATCAGCCTCAGATCTCCTACTAGCCACACTGCTCATATTACGGTTATCGATGTCGTTGAAAGCATTACATTTCTTTTGGAGGTCTTTCTATTTTGAGTTTACTTGGTGTCGTGACCGATCTGAACCTCCCATTTGAACACTAAAATGCTCTAGAACCCTCTCCCAAAATGCATCAACCTTTGTTGATTTCCGTGTTGTTTATTTTTAGAAACATCGACATATGCCCTAGCCAAAGCCAACTCTTCGCGTTCCACCCAGTTCTTTCGCTCCTGGCGGTGTGTATAGTTGCGTTTTTTTCTCAGCAACGGATTGCAAATCCTATTTGGTTTCTTCTTCGTTTCTTTTGGTAGTTGGGCCGTCACTAGAACTGTCAGATTCTTCATTCTGAGCATCACGGAACTGGAAATTCTCAGGTTGAGAAGATTAGAATTGGGTTTATTGAACCCTTTGAGAAAACCGATTTCATGGATTATAACTCTGATTTTCTTCTGGAAGCCTAAATGTATTGTAAAATTGCTACATCGAGAAATATTGTTGTTGGTAGTTTTGGTTTTGTTGATAGTTTTGGTATTACTGATAGTTTGGATTTTGAAAATCTTGAAAAAAATTGGAATATTTTGACTTAAACCGCCTTGTGTGGCTTTGCGTCTTTGGCTAAAACCAATTTTTTTAGCTTTGCCTTGGAAATTCATTGAATGTAACCGAATGAATTGAATGAAATATAAAACTTTCCAGAACAAAAACACTACAATCAATTAAATATGTATCCATCTTTATAAACACACCACATCTTTGTATTACAAAACCTAAAACAAAAAATAAATAAATAAATAAGTACAAAAAATGGACATATGAATGAATATGGTTAACGTCACATAAATTTAAAAGAATACAGTAGATAGGAGAATCAATTCTCTGTGTGCATTGAATTGTATCAGGTCCATTGAATTGTTTTGTATTGTCATTTTCAAAAAAAAATAAAAAATATATATATATATATATATATATATATATATATATATATATATATATATATATATATATATATATATACACATGAAAATTAAGTATTCTATTACATAAATTCTCTGCGCATATATATATATATATATATATATATATATATATATATATATATATATATATATATATATATATATATATATATATTCAATTGAAGACAGTAAATAAAGTGAGAATGTGAAGACACTATATTTATGTTATTATTCTGCCATGAATCTTCTATATACAGTGTTATGTCTTTATTCGGTAATGAATATATAAATAATCATATTTTAATATTAACATTATAACTTACTACAAATAAATAGATAAATTATCATATGCTAAATATTCGCATTAGAATTACAACAATAGAGCATATATATAAAATTCTTAGCAGGATAATAACATAAAAGTAATATCTTCACGTCTTCACTTTATTTACTGTCTTCATTTGAACCATCCCGTATATGTGTGTGTGTGTCTATATATATATATATATATATATATATATATATATATATATATATATATATATATATATATATATATATATATACATACTAGCAGCGTACCCGCGCAAAGCGGCGGGGTGTGTAAATTCTTTCGGTGATATGTTTCCTCTACAAAAATGTTATGTTACAAAAGAAAGTACATGTCGAAAACAAAATAATCAAACTATGGTGTTATTTGGGAGATGAAGTTATTTTTTGTTCCTAGACGGTGGGCTTTATAGCAGATGAGGGAACAAAGAGGTATATGCGATTGGAGGGATATTTGAATCAACATGCTAAATTTAAGGATATCTAAAAGGGTTCAAAATTTGAATGAATCCAGGATTTGAGGGAACAATATCAAATTGCTGAGAAATATAAGGAGATTTGATAATAAATATTTGAATTCAAAATGTGGTTAAGATTTAATATTATTTTATTAATGTCTACTTGTACTATCAGCTTCATTATTTGGACGTCTTAAAAAAATATTATTATTATAATCAATCTATTTTTAGAAATAGTTAGATTTCTTTTATAAGATAGTAGATATATATATATATATATATATATATATATATATATATATATATATATATATATATATATATATATATATATAAGTTGTATAGAATTTATATAATATAAAGCCAACGTATACAATTAAAGTATGTAGGTAAAAGAATAAATGTTTTTAGAAAGAATCTCTGCATGTATGTCACATACATTAAAACTATCGGTCAACAAATATACAGTAGTTCATATAATCAAAAGTGCAGTGAGTTCGTGAAACCATTTAAATGCACTAAAATGTTGAAACCCAGTGAAGCCGCTTGTTCAGGTAAGGTTTCCTGGCGGTACCCCCAGTACTGCCCCATCCCATGGTCCAAACTGCAAACGACTCCGTCTACCCTAAGACGCACTTGTCCCACATAGGAGTCTGGATAGAAAATGAAAGTGTTTTCTAATCTAAATTTTGTTGAATTTTTGGATGTGACTTTGGAGAGATTGCCACTTGCTGGAGTTTTGTAATTGTGTGTGCAACTGTTGTCTTCAAGTTTTCCTTTAGGTTAATTTTGTATTTGTGTTTCCTAACACACAAATAGTTTGAAGTTTGTTCATGGGTCTTAACGAATTCATTCATGTCCTTTTCTATTTAATCTTTGTTTGTCACCGCTGTTTCAAGAAATAGAAATTCATGCACAGAACTGGAGTCACTTGTTGATTTGGGTGTTAGCCACATAGTAGAAGGTGTTTGCCTAATATAATTCATGTTGAGCAAAATTTGGTTATATGAGATGATGATGTATACATGTTTAGAAAAGCATCAAGTCACTTATCTGTGTGTAGTGCAGTCTTTTTAAGAATTTTTATGGTTTAACACCAAAACTGACAGTTGTAGAAACTAAACTAAGTATGTTGAGACTTGAGATGATACAAAAAGAGCATGTATATGTGTGTGGAAACCAAAAAATGGAATGAATTGAATTGTCAGCGATTATCTTTATGTACAATCTGTACTGGAGGAGCAATAAATTTGCTTCCCACTCCCCTTTAAATTCCATTTTATTCATTCTTGTACTTTGTCTTTTTTTTTTTTTTTTTTTTTTGCTTGATTTATATTGCGAGTGTTCCTTCACTGAGGGTATCGTCAGAAGACGAAGAATCAGAAGGAGAAGATTTAGTAGGAGGAGAAGGTTTTGACATGATCCTTGAGAACCCATAACCAAGAGAACTTCCACTTGTTTCTGACAGCTGTACTCAAGCCAAGCCAATGTACACATGACTTAGCATTTATTCAAATTTAAAAAATTCCAATATTATTTGAGCATGATTAGTTTTACCTCAGTAAGCTCTGATAAGTGACGCGATCTAAACTCATTGATAGTAGCTGCTATCTCTGACATTGGCAACTTAGCCTAAGAAAATATAAAAACACAATAAACAATTAATGAGTAAAACAGAAATGAACTGAAAAAACTATACTTACCTGTGCAAGAACAGCAGATGCTAACTGTAAACTTGGTTCTAAGGTCTCGGGGACAACCTGCAGCAAAAGCAATGTAGTATATGTTTAACTAAGTCACTCTGAAAGTGAAGGAAGGGATAAATAAATAAAAGAGAGAGAGAGAGAGAGATTAGTAAAATTACGGCTGTGGCCCCAGCCTTTTCCAAGTTGAGTCCATGGTCAACATCATGAGCGCGTACAAAAGTCTTGACATTGGGGAAATACTTGCTGAGAGCCCAAACGGTTCTGTAATTTGCACCAGGTGAATCTAAAGTTATAGCTGCAGCACATGCTCTTTCAGCCCCTATTTTATGCAACACCTGATTATGGAAAAATGAGTAGTAGTTTAGGAAGCTTGTAATTGTTATTGCATAGATATATAGATTTAACTTTGCTAATACTCACCTCTCTACTACCCGCATCTCCAAAATACACAGGAAGGTCAAGTGCACGTCCCACTGCTACCCGGTCACTAACCATCATATTCATCACAATTCACAACCCTCACATCAATAATCAATAAATTACTATTTTCATCTCCTCCTCCCTCCCTTCACCATATTTTTTTTTCAGTTTTGTTCCTTATAATGATGTACGTTTCATACCAATTTTCTAACTACACTACTCAGCTGTTAAATTATTTGAAATTACTATTTTCCCCTTGGACCCAACCTCAAAAACAAAAAAACACCACAAGGACCAAATTTTAAGTTTTCTCTTAATTTTATTATTAAACTAATTTATTTTCTAAAACATACGTATCAAGAAAAGTTTAATAATAAAATATAGCAAAAATTACAAAATTGGTTGGTCCCTATGGTTTACTGTTTTTTTTCCAGGTTTGGTCCAAGGGCAAAATGACCATTAAAAAACCTTTCAGTTGTACAGTTAGTTACATTAAACAATCACCGTTTGAAACATCATAATAATAAGGACCAAAATTGCACACCAATTCCTTTTGGGACCAAAGTTGAACACATATGATAAACTGAGGTACCAAAATTAAAATTCACTCTTATAAATGTGCATAGTTCATACCTCCTCACGTCGAGGGCAACAAACGGAATTAGCCTTTCAGAAAGAAGCTGGGCAATGATCTGAAAGAAGAAAAAGGTTGGAAATAGGAGTTAGAAAAGCAGCAAATAAAATAAAGAAAAAAAGTGGTGTAATGCTGACCTGGCCAACGCGTCCGAACCCACATATAATGATATGATCCTGCAAGTCATCTGTCTGAAAGAAGTTGAAGAGAATATGTATGAGACGGATGAGCCTTATTAAGTATGAGAAGGAGAAATCCAGATTTAATTTACCTCACTTTCGTCAGGTAATAAACTACGGACATCATGCTGCTCAAAACGAGATGCGATTAACTGGCCTCCAGCAGCTAACCATGGTGTCAGGGCCATTGAAATCCCCACCACAAGAAACAACAAAGATGATAACTGAGGACTCATTATACCCTGAAATGAAAAAGATACAAATATCAAAATCCTACTGTTTTTTTTTTTTTTTTCTGATTACATTTTAAATGGTTAATAATATGTCTGGATCTCAGATTAATAAAAGATGTTTCCAAGTAACATTAAATAAGAAAAGAAGTTGGTGACCTGATTGACAGCTTCACCAAATGCAACAAAGGCAAATTCTCCACCAGGTGCGAGTAAAAGACCAACTCTAATGGCAGAAATTAACGAGACACCAAAAAGTCTACCAACTGCAGCCACAAGTATGGTTTTCCCAGCAATTAAAAGTGCAAGTGACCCCATAATAACAGGAAAGTTTGAGACAAGAAGTTTTGGATCGATGGACATTCCAACCTGAAAAACAATAAAAAAAAATCTCGTCATTACTACTTAAAAATGATGTTAATTATGGTAAATTATCTTGAATTGTGAAACAAAGAAAGATTATGCATACCGTCATGAAAAAGAGACCTAATAGAAGGCCACGATATGGAGCAATATCTGATTCAACTTGCAAAGAGAATTCAGTTTCTGCAAGTAACAAACCAGCAAGAAAAGCTCCCAGTGCCATTGAAAGCCCTGCCTGTTAACACCATTTAATCATTTAAACGGATATATAATTAGAGAAAGCTCTAGGTCTAATCACAAAAATAACAACACTAAATCACATTTTTGGTCCTTATTTGTAACGTTCTTGGTCTCTATTCCAAGTAAAATCACTATTTTTGGTCCCTGATTTCTGCAATTTTGGTCCTAAAAGTATACTCATTTTACTTGGAACAAAAAGGGAACCTCATATAAGGACCAAAACTGCAAGAGAAAACTTTTTGGGACCAAAACTCATAAATTCTGCTCCTCTCATGGACCAAAAATAACCAAACGGGAAGGTAATATCACAAAATGAACATTTATTTCGTGTAATATCCCACTATTTATTTCGCGATTTTTTTTTTCAAGAAACAAAATTCGCAAATTTATTCTAAAAATATTTCTAGTGGAGACCAAATATAAAGCAATTGCATGAAAAAAGTTGTTTCGTGAAATAGGTAATCATTTTGTAATAAAAGTTGAAAAAAGTGGTAATTTTATAACATTACCTTCCCATTTTTGGTTATTCTTGATTAGCTCGGTAATTATCACAAAGGTAATGACCAAAAAAGCAGACTTACACGAGCAGTAAGTAGACTAGTACCCAGAATAACCAGAAGCGTATTTGCAGAAAATATCTCTGCATTTTGCATTTCTGCAATTTGCTTGTAAATTGGGCGAAGCAGCTGCAAAATAATAATAAAACAGTGTTAGAAGCTGAAAATAGTAATTTCATGAAGGCACAGAACTTACCAAACGTCCTCCAGCAATAATGGCACTGATAGCAACAAGTGCCTTTACAGCAGCCAATCCAAGAGCTTCAGCAATTGCAAAGAAACCTATCTGTAAATAATGTAAAAAAAAAAAAAAAAAAAAAAAAAAAAAAAAGACAGCTTCAACTTTGTGATCAACTTAGAAACATCAGATGAAGAGGGATGTTTTGATTTACAGACTTACCCCTCCTTTGGACGAGTTTGGTGAAATAAGAGGTATGAGAATCAACAAAACAACAACTGCTAGATCCTGTAAGAAATAGACAATCAGCAGCACATTATAGAAAAAATGGTCTGGTTCTGGTCCCTGTGCTTTCTGATTTCTACATGTTTAGTCCAAAGTTAAAGCATTATTCAAGGTTTCATATCGATTTTGGTCCTTATTTCAAGGCTCCAGGAGCATAATCGATATGAAACCATAAAATAAAAGATCAAAATTCAAAAATGTTTAAATTTTGGACTAAAGGCGGTTAAAAGCAGAAAGTACAGGGGCCATATTTGTAATTTACTTCGTTTCAAAATTAAAGCCATGAAAGTCAAAGAAGTGAGTCTTTCAAAATCATAAACGCAACAATACCTGGAAAAGTAAAACAGAAAATGTGGCTCGTCCATGGCGTGATGTGCTTTCCCCACGCTCTTGCAACACCTACACAATAATTAAATTTGTTTAAACATGTTGTGTAAAACAAAAATAAATAAATAATGTAAATGCGGTTTCATTTTTGTTATTAATGAATACCTGTAGGACAACTGCTGTAGAAGATAAAGCCAGACCATTACCAATCACAATTGCGGCAGGTCCTAGTTGTCCACAGACAAAATGTGTAAGTAAACCTATCACAACAGCTGTCACCAACACCTGTATCACCAACAAAGGTTAGGTTCGAATAAGGACCAAAATTGCAAGTGAAAACTGTTAGGGACCAAATTTGCAAAAATCAGCTACACTTGGGGACCAAAAATGTAACTCACTATTGAATGAATAATGCAGGATTGTTACCTGAGCAGAACCCAATCCGAAAACATATTTCTTCATGGAACTCAGTCTTTCAACAGACAGCTGTAAATGATATACAGTTTCAAGTTTAGATTTGATATGAATTGAACTACATAAAGAAACTGTTAACATGGATTCATTCATTCAAATTCAAACCTCAAGACCGATATTGAAAAGCAGGAAAACAACTCCAAATTCAGCTATTGCTTTTGTTGCATGGACATTACGTATAATTGAGAGACCATAAGGTCCAATCAAGATGCCAGCTGTCAGATACCCAAGAACAGGACTTCCTAACCAAATGGAAGGGAACACATTAGTAATACTAATAGGGAATATTACAGAAAAACTACTATTTCTTGGGGAGTTTTGCGGTTTAACCACTAATACTTTATTTTTTTCCAATCAAACCATAAAAGTGTCAAACATTTTTTACCAAATTAACCATTTTACCTATATTATATCCGGTCAAAAATGTTAGATTGGATTTGGAACAATGACTGGAACTTTCATGGTTTGATTGAGAAATATAATAACTTTAGTGGTTAAACAGCAAAACCGCCCAAAATATAATGGTTTTTCTGTAATTTAAACTTAGTAATACTAGCAAAAGAGATGAATATGGAATTGCTCTGTAGCCATATTAGTGGGATACTCATAATCTAAAATTGTAAATACCTCCAGGAAGCTTTTGAAAAATAGGCACAAATATTACACTGCCAAGCAACAACCACAACACATCAAAAAGGGAAGCTTCTTCCTCATTAATCTGCAATATGAATATATATGATTAAAAAGAGAAGAAATATAAATTATAAAATACAAGTTGAGCAAGGAACAACATACCTCTTGGTGTGGAAGCAACTCAATTAGCTTTTTAACTTTTTCAGGTAATTTTCTTATCTGTCTGACCAAGGGCTGAGCTTTTGATGAGACATCATCAATAGTGCTGGTGATAAAGTCTGGCTGCTGATCGATACTAGTGGTGATAATGTCTGGCTGTTGAAATAGTTTACCAATCCGCTTTTCTTGTTTAGCATAAAGGGCAAAACTGTCATTTACGTTATGTGTGAACATTATTGATTAGAGGGAACCAACGTTTTACAGGTCAGTACGTGAAAAGTTTTCTACAACCAGAATTTATTAGATAAGCCAAGTAACTTCAATTGTTTGTTTAGACTAAAAAAAAATTATACCTTGCACCAAGAAGCAAGGATCCAACTACCAGTTTAGGTAACAGCTCTTTTGCAGTTTCACCAAGGCCCTGAAAAACTGCAGCTGGTGTAAACTCAGTGCCATCTCCTGCAAATGAGAAAAAGGAAGCAGAAAAGAAACGAGATGATTTGTTCAACAATGCTTTTGGAGAAGGCAACGGTGTGCTATCCTTAGTCAAATCCTTCTGTGTTTCCGGCTTTTTTGCTTGAACCCCAGTTTTTGTCTTTTCTGCATCACTTTCAGTGTTCTCTTGGTCACTCTCATCAGAAAACCTAGACTCTTCAGACATTTGACCTACACTATCTTGTATCTGCTCCTCAATCGCCACATCACCGTCCATGTCACCAATTATCTCAACCGAAGTTCCCTCCATTTCGTCAGTCTCTGTGTCTGAAAGGATTTGGGACGTTGTACTTTCCGAACTACTATCTGCAATTGATACAGAAAGAATTTTCTCAGCCTTTTGTAATGCAATTTCAGCATCATTAACACGTTTCAGAGACTCGAGTTCAAAAGCAACAGCTTGCTCTGCTAAAATCATTATATTCGCCACATCTTCATCAGCTTTCAACGCATCATTTTGTGCTTTTTCCGCAAGTTCATTCAGCATAACAACTTCTTTTTGCAACTCATCTTTTCGATTCTGTAACCGAATCAATGCCTTCTCACAGTTTTCCAAATTCACACGACACTCCTTCATGTCCTTCTGAGCAGCCAATAGAGTTTCCTCCTCTCTCATTAAACTCATATTTTCATCTTCACTTTCAATTTTCTCTTTTGCAAGTTCTAATGATTCAAGAGCTACCTGATGTCTAGCCTCAGCTAAAGAAAGGGCCATTTTGGCTCTTTGGATCGCTTCTTTAGTGGGATCCTCTTCTTTCACAATCTCTTCGATAGAAAGTAACACCGAGTTGACATTATCCCATGCGTTTAAAGCTTCATCTTTTAGTGCTATTGCAGCTTCTGATATCCTTTGAGCTTTATCTTCAAACATTGTACTGTTGAGTTGGGCTATTTCCAGTTCTTTAAGCGCTTTCTGTAACAACTCCTTTAATTCATCCAAAGTAGGGGCTTCCCCTTCTGCTGATTCTCCCTTATCTTTATCCTTTGAATCTTTCTTTTTCTCTTGACTGTGACTAGTTTCTTCTTTTGAATTCTCTTCGATAAATTCCACATCCCTTCCATTCCCATTTACAAAAGCAAGTGAATCGTTTCCCTGGCAACCAGTTTTTAAATTTCCTCTTGATGACTTAAGTATACTGATTGAATAGTTTGGCCTAAAACCATGACTACTGGAAGTGATCAGTTTCTTTTTGGAGACAACTCTTGATGTGACAAGAAAATTATAACCAAAACTTGATTGCAAGTTCATTTGCTTTAATGTTCCATGACAACCACGAATTTGGAAACTGGATGAAATATTCATATCTTCCCTTGCTTACTCGATTTCTAGGTGCTAGGAAAAGAAACTCTCATTAGGTTGTAATCTCAAGCACCTGAAATACATGTATATAATCAGAAAAGCACTAGGTTTCAAATTGTGATTTAAAATCAATGACTTTCATTGCTTGAGTTCAATATATGCCAAACTGTACTCTATAAACATTACAACAATCGATAAGTCAAACATAAACACAAGTATACATGTCTTATAAACAAATTTTCAATATTCTCATATCAAATTATTGAAATTAGACTTAAATATACTAAATGTATCCTGAGTGCCAATTAAGTTGACAAGAAGATATCAGTTTCTAAAATCTAAATAAGCATCTATCATACATACACATCGAATTAGCCTTATGTACATGACTCTGCAGGCATTGATGTGTCGGCTGTTCTAAATCAAATCTGGGATCAATTTGTAATCAGTTGATGTCAATGTGCGCCAAAATGCAACTTAGAAACATTATAATAATCAAGCAGTCAAAGCAGAGTTTGAGTACTTGATTGTTGAAATGTTTCTAGGGTGTCTGGAAATTAATCATGTCAATGAAGTTTAGAATAAGAACTCAACTTTTAGCAACTACATGAGTTTCCATCATACATGCCAATTAAAACTAGACAGAAACTCATGAAAAGTATTGATACACATATGTTCTATAATCAACCTTCAATCATTTGAAACAAAATTTCTGATTAATGAACTTTAATGTTAGTGAGTATGTGCCCTATAAACATAACATCCAATTACTCAAACTTAACCACATATATATATATATATATATATATATATATATATATATATATATATATATATATATATATATATATATATTTCCTATCAAAAAGAGTTCTACCGTCTTAGAGATTAGACATAAGATTTACTAACTGTACCATCAAAGTCAATTAAGTTTCCCATAACATAAGCGATTATTCTCTAAACCTACAACAAATATTAATGATACACACGATTTCAAAAAGCTACACATTGTACGATCAATCTTTAATAGTCTGATAATCCTATTTCTGATTAGTCTTTAGTCAAAATTTACCCTAAAAAACATTACAACAATCAATTAGTCAAACTTAATCATATCTATACATGTCAAATAGAGCCATTTGACTCATCTAAAGTCTAACACTCTCATAATCATAGCCCAATTTTACTCTAACAACTCAATTTCAATATCTACCGCAAATATCCTGATACAAGCTACTATGAGAAATCCAATTCCTAATCACGCACCTTTCATTATGTACCCTAGAAACATCACAACAAATAGTTACTCAGAACTTAACATAAATTACACATGCTACCTCAACAGAAACATCAAATAACTACACATACACACGTATCCAGTATCCACATACAACCGTAAATTGTATGCGCATCGATGTGATACTACATGTCTAGGAGTTTGTGCAGATGAAGTGGCGGACATTGAAACTTACCGATGAGGAGTACAATCTGAAGCTTTAAGAACAGTCAATGGCGGATTATTCCAGGAGAAATTAGGTTAGGAGTGGAAAAAGACGAACGGTTGACGACGTAAGAGCGAAAGAGTGTCAGTTAGCGGAGTTTGTTGCTTGTCTGCAACAAAGAGAAATCTTAACCCGTCTTCTTCTACTGTTTTGATATTTATAGAAACCGAATTTCGTTGATTGGTTGATGAAACGATGTTGAAAATGGGAAGGAAAATCTTTGGGTGGTAGGGAAGGAAGTAAGAGAAGTGTATGTACCAAAATGCCCCTACGAAATGGAGTCTAAATAACGGTAGAATCAAAATAGAATCAAAAACCGAATCTAAAATAGATTGATTTATTAGTGAACAATCTTTTAAATATCAGGTTTTTAGTTGAAGCGGTTTCATTATTAGTTTCTAGTTGGATCGATTCAATCGTGATGATTCCGATTTTTAGAATTTACATAATTTCAACAATTTACATAATTTTGTACCAAAAAGTTTCATAACATCTAACCACTTAAGCTAGAGAAAAAAATTATTAAAGATCCAATACAAGGAGTTCTTTGTCATTTTAAATGTCTAAAAGTCGGCCAATATGGATATTATAAATCAATTCAAATATTATAAGATTATCTCATATTCAAAAGGTTCTCAATGTCATTTTTTGATAATTGCAAAGAATATAGCTACAACTTATTATCAAACAAAAGATGTATACAAAGTCTAAATAGATATGAAAAAACCAACAAATCTAAAAAAAATTGTTCAAGTCCATAAATAAATATAAAACCGTTACTAGTTGAACCGATTTCTTTTTCAATCCAATTGGTCTTAACCAGTTTTTAAAACATTGATAATCTCATTTATTTCAAAAGAAAATAATATACATCAATTTGTAAGTTTATACAATTTTCTAGTATGCAGGTGTATCCAAAATATACACAAATTTAAGTATTTGATTATTATTATTATTATTATTATTATTATTATTATTATTATTATTATTATTATTATCATCATGTATAACAAATATAATATAGTATATCATAATGATGTTTTATTGTTCTGTTAATGATCATGCTATCATGCTATGATTTTAGAAACACTTGGTAAATTTTGTAATTGTTTAGCTTTTAGATATCTAAAGTTCAATTATCCTGCGTGTTTCATTAAAGGAAGGAAGTGGGAGAAATTGAAAAAAAAATTTGGAATAATCATTTTTTTTCCTAACTTTTCTTCCGATTTGGACGGATATGGAGAAAAAGATCAAAATGTTTAACTTTCCTTTCACTTTTCTCCGATTCGAGAACACGAAAGATAAATTTATTTTCCTTTCATTTCTCTTCTTTTCTCTCCTACTTTTTTTTTCTTTGTTAAAACTCGGAAAGGAGGCGTTAATCTATCAAAGGTATGATAAATGTATAAACATTTGGATTCGTTGTTTGGTAATTGACGTGATTTTGTGTTTTATATTGTTTTCGACTAATTTAGTTTTTAATGTGTGATAATTTTATTGATATATTTAAGTGGTGTTTGTTTGTGACTTAATGAAATTAATGGATAGTAATATAAAATTGCTTGTTCAGTCCAATATTTTTTTATAAAATTTAACAAAAAAAAGTCCTTAATAAATGTCATACGTTTATCTTTGACAAAATAATGAAACAAACAATGATAAACTGACGTAAGTCTCCCCATTCGCTTATGCAAATAGCCCCAACCCTTCAAGCACTCCAAACGTCCCTTACGTCTCACCATTCACTTATGTAAGTAGCCCCAAAAGGCATATCGCCATATCATGTGATTTGTGATGTTTTTTCATTGATTTATATTGTATTGTTTGCTAATTTAGTTAATTTATCATTATTCAGAAAACAAATAAAACCATGAAAGGAATCAAAATGTTTACTTTTGAATTTTTTTTTTTTTTTTTTTGCTTTGTGTGATTCAAAAAAGTGAAACTATCATAACACTATGATTCACTTCATGATTGCAACTAGAAATGAATGAATCAAATCGAGCTTTAAACTAATTATGTAGGGTTGTTTAAAGTTATAGAAGCTCGAGCTTGATCTTGGCTCGTGAAGCATATGTGAAGCTCATAAAGACTCATTTGTCCGTGAATCTAGTTAAAGATCCTAATCAACTCATTATTTTTTTAATATTTTATTTATAAATAATAATGTATAAAATAAAATTATATTATACGAAAGCTCGTTTAACCTCGCAAGCTTAAATGAGCCCTAGCCTGTAGGCTCAATATCGGACTCGTTTATTAAATGGGTCTTATTCTATGTAAATATTGTAAAGATATGAGCAAAAGTAAGTTATTCATTGATTGATGAATAAACGTATTAATAGAGTTACTGGGAGTGATTTTCTCTAACGGACTCAATTTACAAAATCTAGACTAACTACAAAACCTCATCAATAAGATAAATATAAGTAATTAGAAAAATACAAATATATACAAATATTATCTTAACAGCCTACCGCAAGCTCATGGTCGAATTTTGTCTCGGACATGAAGCTTGGCACGAAGAGTCAGAAACTGATGATTGCCAACCGCCTTTGTGAAAACATCTGCAACTTGATTGAAGGAGCGAACATGGCGAACGATAAGGTCACCAGTAGCTACCTGTTCCCTGACAAAGTGATAGTTAATTTTGATGTGTTTCGAACGATGGTGGAAGACCGGATTGGCAGAGAGAAAAGTTGCACTTAAGTTGTCACGAAGTATATGATAGCTTCATTTTATTACTTCTTTCCGTAGTTTTATTTTTAGTTAAAACCATCTCATTTTAGTTAATCTTCATGCATATTTTCTCTTTTTGTTATTTTTCTCCTTTACCGGGTGCTTTCTAGTCTTTTGAGCTTATTTGCAGGATTTATCGAAGACTTTTTTGTTAACGGAGGCTTAAAAAATGTGGGATTTATGGAGGCTTGCGGTTTGCTTGTGGATTTGAAGTGGTGCGATTGGGCTTGGTGCTTGTATAAACAAAAATCAATTTGGACTTCATTTCTGAGCAAGAATGATGATGAGGCAACGCGGAATTGAGCTACAGAAAATTGAAGGAGTAGTGGATTAATCATTAGAAGGCTTTGGAATGGCACAAATGGGCTCTAAAGAGTTATGCATGTAGGCTGAAGTTGAAGAATTGAAGATTGGGTTAGATTGCATGTTAAATGGCCCAAATCCCACATTCAGCATGACCCACGCGGTCCGCGTGGACCCATACACGGTCCGCGTGAATTGTGCTGAGTTGATTCCGGCTTTTGACTTGTTGAATCTGTTTGTGGAAGTTTGGTGGGTGGCTTTTGACACCTTTTTGAATCCGGAAATCAGGTCCCTTTTGCTAGAGATTTGAGGCATTATTGGAGGGGATCGCTTGAAGAACACACACCATTCTCTCTCAAGAAAGCTTTGGAAGATTTGAAGAATTTTTGGAAGAATAGTGTAATTTCTTTCCATATTGCATCTAAGACAATGTTTGGTACCAATAAACTATATTGCTTT